TATTTGGGCCAAAATTGTCAAATGTGAACCCCCCCCTAAAAAATGAACCTGAGCCCCCCTTGGCAAATCCAAATCCTGGCTACTGGCCTGCTTAGCTACTCATCATATAACTTCCATTTAAATAAATTGACAATTTTGCATTCTTAAAAGAGAGCTTCGTCTTCACTCTCAGTTTACAATAAACCTCTGATCTCACCGAGCCAATCAGAGTTCGTCATCGAAATATGGACGACTTTCTATATGGTCATTTCCTCTGACATCCCCGCATAATTAATTAGGACGTATTCAGCAAGTGTTCCTTACGCTTTGCTGATTGGTTTAGAAAGGGTAGATTTGAATTTATTTATTACCCGGGCTGTCACAGGTACCAATCTTCGGGGCGGGCTGCAAAACTGTAATATAGTCTATACTAGGCAGAGGGTAGTTTATAACTAGACTCTGTGCACAGGGTATTATAGTCAGCACCTTGAGATGAACTAGCAATCAATGTACATGTAGTCCAAAATAAGTTTAATACTAAAAGATGATTCATTATGATTGATGTTCTGAAAATGCTAAACAATGGAGTCTTACATCTAGCCCCTGTGTTTCCCCTCCCATTCTCTGTGGTTCCCTGTCAGTATAGGTCGTAAACTGACATAAGCTTAAAAAGGAGTTAGCTTCAAATCCCTGTGACCCTCCCCTCCCCCCTACTCCCCCAAACACACACAGAGGTGGAGAAGATAACTGGGGTCTAGAAACTCAAAGTGCAAGGACTACATCACAATAGTGTATTTCTTTAATATTTATGGATCAAGATAGAGATTTCACGCTTGACTAGATCCTGGTACTTAAAACCATAATTTCAGTAGGCTCTTATTAACATAAAAAGCTCACATTGCCCTGTTGGCATTGTATTAGATTGACATATTGTCAGATACAGATATAACTTAGCTGTGGGCTTGATAATAATGACATAGGAAATATTCTGAACAATTGTTTCAATAAAATGTTTTGATTTCTGATAATAATGCCCTTTGTGCATCCCTAATAATGCCCTCAGTGCATTATTAATACTGCCCTCTGAGCATCACTAAGCAGAGATTTGTAGAGATGTAATAAATTTGTTCGTTACAGAAATCAATTGCACAACGTTTGCAATATAATCACCTCACTAATGCTAGTTACATAGAGCTCTATGGGGAGATTTGTATTGAAATGATTACAAATGAAATCTTATAGATATTGATCCAAATTGCTAAAATTTCATAATGGAGGTGCATTTAATTTTGTTCTCCTGTGGTCACTTTTATTTTATTCTATTATCTTTATTGATCTCAGGGAATCTAGCGGATTTGATATTTTGTCTATATTAGGATATAGATTAGTGGCAACATCAATTAGCAATCTAAATATACGGACAAAGCATTTTTTTATACTTCCAATGGTTATAGAGAATCGTGAGATATCACAGTCTCCTATCAGTTCATACCCTTTGCATTCTTTCGACTTCTTAAAAGAGAGCTTCGTCTTCACTCTTTCAATTTACAATAAATCTCTGAACTCACCGAGCCACTCAGAGTCCATCTTCGAAAAACAGATGACTTTCTATATCTGGTAATTTCCTATGACGTCATCGCATAGTTAATAATGAGCACACATTTAGCATGTGTTCCTTCCAGCTCGCTGATTGGTTGAGAAAAGTTCACCATGGTAGATTTGAAATGATTATGACCTGGGCTGTCACAGGTATAGGTTGGTGGGGCAGGGCTACTTAACTGTAATATAGTCTACACTAGGCAGAGGGTAGTTTATAACTAGACTCTGGGGTAATCAGTTCCTTACTAAGATTTTCGACATCTAAAAAGTCACTCGACTTTTTTGTGATTATGAGTCAAAGAAAGCATTCTTGAGTTTCAAATTGACTTCTGTGGTAACTTGAAATCATCTTCTAATTTATTCTACATACCTTTTATTGTTTCTCCAAATATATTCTTTGAAAACCGGATTTTAAGGGTGTTAATCAGGGCAATTCTGTGCCATTTTAATCAAAAATCTTGTTGCTACCTAGAAACGAGCAATTGTGATCTTGTTGTTACCTAGGAACGAGCAACTGTGATGTCACGTCACACTCGTGTTAATTCTGGAATCACATGGCAGCCATTTTGGAAATTTCAAAAAAGTTCCCAATTAAAAAGGTTAAATGCTGTTTTCAAATTGGAAACTATTGCAGAATCAACAAAGGGTTTGTGAAATAATTAGGATATGGTTTCAAAATTATGCACATGACAATATATGATTACTAAATGCAGGCAGGGACTCTTAATTGCCAAAAACTTGAGTGTCAAAAAGCATTGGTATCTACCTTAGTCATTCTATGCAAGGCAAGGAATGCCAAGGATGTGCTCAGTATCAGAATGACCACATACACATTATTCTGTAGAAAATATAATAAATTAAAGTTCTGTCTTACATATGTAGTCACTACCTAAGTAAGAGATTTCAAAGTTAGTTGATCTTTAATCTAAAATGAAATCCTGAAGAATGACGCAAACATTTTGAAACAGACTATCAAAGAAATGGAACATGTCAGTCATGATTATATCAACACGAAAACTCAAATCCACAGAGAGGCACAAAGTCAGAGCCGTGATGGCACATAACCATCTGATGAATCTGCTTCTGTGAAAACAAAGGCGAACTGTGATTAAATACAAATTTTGAAATTGCTCTGGGATTCGACATTTCACACCCAGGCCACTTTAATGGCAAGAGCAATTTTCACATTAAACCCATAACAGTCCCTCGGGTGAATTCTCAGATCAATTCTTCCTGATGTCTAATAAAGAATGTCTGATTAGTTCCTATGGAGTCGTTGTGTTGCCCCTCACAAGCATCAGACCGTAATTGAAAAGCTGTTGTCTCTGTACTTTATAGATTACTTAGCAAACATAGAGACAACTGATGTTCTCACTTGCCTTTGACAACCAAACCCACAATACGTATATGTCAAGGCATTAACATGCAAAATATAACTTCCTGTCAACTTTTCAAAGACACCAACCACCAAACACCAACCACCAAACACCAAACACTGTTGACAAAAAAAGTTGGAGACTATTTCAATATGTCACCACTTCTGGTGGTGATCTAAAAACTGTAATGCTAAATTGTGTTCTGTTCACTCGGCTCCTATCAGTCATAGTGAAGGCCAAATATGCGAAGATGGCCAATATATGGTACTAGAGTTCCCTAGTTCAATTCATGTATTGTAATTTAATCATGATAAAACTTCTTTTTGCATACTAGTCTTTCATCCCTTGTTCCCTATTCCTATCATTACCTGACAGAGTAGTAACTGGATACATGTACAATACATGTAGACAATTCATCACCTTGTATATGTTCCCTGGTAAGTAATGTTACATGGGTGATTCTAAGTAAAAGTACTACAGTATTGTAAGCTATATTGATTGGTTCTTTTGTTTAATTTTTGTAAATGTTTGCTCAAGCTTTGAGAAAACTATTAAAACATAAATTGATTCATAATGTTGAATACAAGCATTATAAAGCATTCATTTTAGCATCTTTAATTAATGTAGTTAATGGCATTTTACCTATTTTCACCCTCATATAGCTTGGCATGTGTTTTATACCTGTTTTCACCTTTTATATCATCATATTAACCATTTCTTTTACCAATAAAATATCAACAAGTCAGCATTGGACATTTCACAGATCAAATCATACCTTATGGTTTTATCTTATTCTTACATCAACACCCTGTACTCCCCCTCCCTCGGTTGGGGGCAGGAAGGGTTTGGTACTTTTTTGCAAGAATAGTTTTGTCTTCCAAATACATGTAGTATCTTCTCTTACTTAGCACCCCTGACTATAAGGAAATCCATTGAGGAAAAATGGACATATCAGTGGATTCATATCAGAATACTCTGCCAAGGGTATCATTTATAACTAACCCATGACAGTTCTGCTTCAGGAGATCAAAAATGTGATTTATCATAGATGTAAGCTTTGAAGACAACCAATCTTAACATATTTGGTAATCTATAACATCATTTTATAGGAAATATGGTTGGTTTGTTAAAGAGGCTCTATGCCATAGGAAAGCACAATCAAGAGCCCTCTGGACTTTTTTGCATATTGAGTTTCACCATATATACCAATCAACTTACCAAAGAAGAAGTCCCAAATCCCCCTCTTTCAGTGTTAATTTTGTGATTTTGCTGGCCGATCTAATTATTTTCGAAGAAATTAATTCAATCTGAAGTTTGAATATACCGGGAAAGTCCTCCTGTTATCTGATTGGTCGTTGAATTTGTTTATCATAAACCTGACTGGCTGCCTGGTTCAAGGCGCTTGTGTGACTCAAGGGGGATTCCCCATGCTAGCCGAGAAATTGATTGTGTTTAATTCTGGAGTTTGGTTGTTCTGTTGATTTTACCGATATTTCGGCAATAAAATACCAAAAGGTTATTCTCAAGATATATCCATGATATGTGAGATATTACATGAGCAATAACAATAGGACATCATTGATTGTCTGGGGGAGAAACCTATGGCATAATGCATCTTTAAGTGATAACATAATATTCAAAAGGCTTCAGCACTATGAAGTTTCAATCATATGTGCAACTTTACATTCCAGCAGAATTCTCAGGCCCGTAGCCAGGATTTGCCAAGGGGGTTCAGGTTTCAAAAATTTCCAGGGGGGTTCACATTTGACAATTTTGGCCCAAATATGGCTAAAATCACTTGAGAAGTGCTCAAAATGGTGAAAACTGCATGATGTTGAAATAATTTTTGGTCAGGGGGGGGGTTGCCAGAACCCTGCGTACCCCCCTGGCTACAGGCCTGATTCTTGTTCTTGAAAGTCCATGGATTGACCATTAACTCAATAATAAGTACTAAAACACACCTACGAACAACACTAATATTGTAGACAATATCAAACTCTATAAATAACATTTGACAACACTGACAGCCTAAAAGATCCACCTTACCTGAGTTATAACTGTGTGGGTCCTATTAGACAGGGGCTCAACTTTCAGTATACTTGTACCATTGCTGACATATACTGCACCTAAAATCAGAAAACGCACAATGCTATAGGTCAAGGTCAACTGGAAATATTTCCATGAATATAGAGTATGAAGGTAACCTCACAAAGAAGATAAATATACATGTACTTTGTTACACCATATATAAAATTGTATGTGGCTTTAAGATACTCTTATATTAATTTACTCTTTTATTAACAATTTGTATTTGTATCTATGTCTGAAAAGACATTTGGTTCATGGTGCGAAAATACATGAAAGTAGGGTTATGATCAAAACGTGCACTGGGCACTAACACGCCACACATCAATAGAAACTGGTCAATCATCCATTTTAAGATCTCTCTTATGCGTTGATCCATAAAGGCAAGGATCAATTCTCACAAAAATCGAATTATTATATTTCCAGCAGGATTGTCTTGATTTAAAGTCTGATAATTGCTAATTAATGTGCATTTAACAAGATTTTAAATATACTTTTAATTTCGACTTGGTACAATCTGTACCTGGTTCACTTTTTCTGTTTCGTTCTTTTGAGCATGCACAAACATCTGAAACAACACCTTTATTACCAGGGTGATAGATTAAATAATACAAGTAATTTTCTTTTGTGTAAGTTGGTATCTGTGCTCATGCATGTTGACATATACTGAACTTGGCAATAAAAGCGAACACAGTGCACATTACTCCCATAATAGAGTATTTGAGTTTCAAGATTTGTAGACAAAGTCAAGAAGCCTTCAATGTGCCCTTCATGTCAGCACCAGCGGATCTAGACGGGGGCGTTGTGGGTGCACGCCCCCCTAAAAAGTCGGAAAATTTGTGTTTTGCCTCATTGCTTTATACAAAATTTGAATTTTTTTTTTAATTTGCTCACAGTTATCATCATACGCCCCCTCCCCCCCCCCCCCTAACACAAAATCCTCGATCCGCCCCTGGTCAGTATGCATGCAAGTCATCCTTCATCTCAGTTTAATACGAAAAACCCCAATGGGGTCTGGATTAATCATACCATGGGCTTTCAACTAGAGAACAGCGAGCTAGTGCGCACGCACCTTAAAAATGGTGCATATTTTCATGATAACCGGAAAGTAGCCTATAAGATTAGCTGATTGACTTACCTTGGACAAATGAACCAAACACCAGACAGAGAAAAGCAACTCCTGATAACTTTAAATCCATATCAATGACTTTGCAATATGACCTCAAAAAGAAATGTCTGATATTTAATCTTCAAAAAGCCCGGAGACCAGATCTAAGCATCAATCACATATTTTTGTTGATTTTAGTAAAATTATTAAAAATCATGCACTGTTGCAGAAGATTTTTTTAGGTTCCGGTTCGGGTACAATTTTCTTGTGCGTATTATAGTGTCCCTGGCTCATCTGAGACGTAATATTCATGTTCCTACTAATCCAATTATTAGTCTCCTTGATTTATTGAGTAATATCCATGCTTACGAATTATAATGCGCGAGAAAACATCAAAAACATCGGAGATATTTTTTTCGGTGCATGTTGTTTAGACATCCGGGCACTTTGGATGAGTCTACTACATTAAAAGGGAACGCAGGAAAGCAAAATGGAATATACCATGATTAGGGATGTTTATTTTCAATTATAGGTAAATGAACTTGACTGCCCTCTATTAATTGAGTTTGTACTATTTTCGTAATTAGAACAACACAATGAAGAGTGATACGTAGGCCTACTCCAGAATCATGATTCATGAAGGAGTAAATATTTAATTAAGAAAGATATGGAGAAATTAACAGTGTCAGTGACGACTTCATTAACATTAGAAGATCCTCTTTTAAATGATATTTTTATTTTCGTTGCAGGGGCGGATCTGGGAACCAATGAGGTGGGGGGGCAAATTTCAGGTCAGAGAAAAAAACTTCTCTAAGTTTAGGCCCCTTAAACGCAAAAGTGGGCCCAAATTTTGAAATTTTGAGGCCCATTTTCTTCAAAATTTGGCCTGAAATTAAAAAATAAGGCCTTAAAAGGCCCAGTAATGACCAATAATGGCCCATTTTTTGGGCCTTGGGCCCACCCAAGGGGCGGCCCCAGCCCCCCTCCCCCGATCCGCCAGTGCGTTCAGAATTTACTTGAAAGATAACATATTGTGTTAAGAGATCGGGTCTCCTAAAAACACAATTAGAGTAACCCCCTGATTTTTTTGTGTTATTTGATGTAAAACAAGTTTGTTTATCAACTTATTAATTCTGAGGCTTGAATTAATTCGTTAACAGTATCAATTCGATGATTGTTCCTTGCCATGAATTTCCACTTACATCAATAGAAATTAAAATTAAAATTTAAAAAGCCCGCTCAAATTTGTTCCAGTCTGGTTGTTTTTTTCTAGATTATTTTGGCTTAGAGAAGCCATATTTATTACTTCTAAGGGGTTACAATATAGATAAATCCCCAAAAACATTGTATTCTGTTTTCGACTTATTGCGTTCAATTCTGACAGTTGGTTGTTCTCTTGGTTGTCCTGTTGATATCCTCAATATATTGCCGATATCGTGCTTATGATTTGGTCTCAAGATATAGCTAAGGTATATGATGTTTTATTAGCAATTATATTGGGACATTACTGATTGTCCAGAATATAAATCTGGACGACACGATCTCTTTAATGAAAAATGTCATATTTATTAAAGATTTGGTATTGTTTTTGTGAACAATATTTGTTTGTGTCGTCTTTTCATTTGCTGGCACAACTGGATCTTACACAAAAAATGACACCCACCTTTTGTAACATACTTTTGGAAATAAGTTATGATTTTATCAATAACAAGTTATGGTACAAAAGTTGGGTGGCATTTTTGTAGAATCCATGTGTGTCTGTTAAGGAATGGATGACATTTAGAGCAAATGTTGTAACCTCATGAAATTTGAGCAAATAGAGCTACACATCTGAAATTTTTGGAAGTGGTTTCGCAATATGACTACTCTTAATGTGCTAAAGGACGAGTAACTGAAATGTTAAATTGTCAAACATGTTATGCAACATAAGATGGATCTCATGTTTTGTGTCACCCTATAATTTATTTTATTAATAATTGTCAGCCAAGTATATACTCCAAGTCAGTTGCATCAACACGCTTCTATATCACTACTCGGATGCCAAGAGGGTTTATATCTTATGTATTTGTATTTTAAGACTTTCTGATGTATCTAAGAAGACCTATGAAGAACAATGTAAGGAATACTATGAATTCTTTAAATAAAATTTTCAAATAGTAAAAACCTAGGGGAACATGGGGCAAAATGGCCCATCGAAATATCTTTTGAACTATAAAAAGATGGCTCTTCAAAAGTCACATAATCGTATTTTGAAATTTCTGCCACCTTCTCAACCGCCCTTTTTTACCTAGCAGCGTCTTGCCTTACGTAAGAGGTAATTCTACTTTTCAATTTCTTTGTTGCAAATTACCCCTCCCACGAGAATCTCTACAAAATCCGGCAACAATAGAATATCTTTTTGAATTAACATTTTACATAGAGTATGCATATTTATTCTTTATTTGTGAAAATTTCGAGCTTCAAGTATTAGGTAAATTAAAATGACGTATATTTGAAAATTCACATGTCACTGGGGCAAAACGGCCCACACAGGTTATAAAAATCTTATTGTAAAAGAATAATTAATTTTCAAATGTAACGATTTTAACGTTTGGTTGGTACCTTGTTTCCTTCCGACACATATCGAATAGGCTAACTAGAATTATGGTAGGGGTTAAAAATACTTTATCTGTCAAAGGTTTGAACGTCTGAGATAAGATGTGTGTGGACGAGTCTTGTATTTGATTAATCTTGGTTTTAAAACCCATGTAACAGAGGGTGGGCCGTTTTGCCCCATCCATGGGCCGTTTTGCCCCACTCCTGGCATTATTTTTTACCATTGAAAAATCACAGAAGATAGTCCTAGGCAAGTATAAAACACTCTAAAATGTAAACCACAACCCATTAATAAAGTGGAACATCAAACTGCGTGATGATTGACAGATAAGAAAATACCCCATACGGAACAACTTAAAATTGAATTTTTAGGGCCGTTTTGCCCCATGGTCCTTTAATTTGTTTGAAATTATGAATTTAGTAAATAATTCACACAATTTTGCTAGATCATTATTTGACAAATTAAACAAAAACTAAAATGCATACTTATGTAACACTGATTAACCACTAATTTTATTTTTTTCAAATTCGTAAGAAGCTGTTAACGTTTTTTGACCCCTTGCGATGAGAAACATATTTCGACCCAAAAGCCCAAAAGCAAACGGTTTTGAAGAAACAAGATATATGGACCTCCTTAAATATTTATTTATCTTTGGGATGCCCAAAAACAAGTATTCCTATGAACGAGGAAGTGAATTTCAATGAAAATTGCTCCATGGGCGATAGAATACGGCGTTCTCTAACAAAGGGGGGGGGGTTACGTGTGCTGGGATCGTCTGATTTTGGGAAACCCCCGGAGCATGGTCCACTTAGAAATATCAAGTATTTCCCAAAATTAATTTTTACCTTAATTTTAAAAGCTGGTTTATATCAAACAAAATAATCACCCCATGCAATGGCTAAATCATTTATACTTTTGCACCATTGCAGGAATTTTGTTGGAAGCCAGTTCGAATCATTCTGATACTCATAGCATCCTTCTGTTTCACCTGAAACATCTCAGGGCTGAGAAGAAATGAGATGTCATTGTTTATCATGATGATGAGTTCGAATCAAATGTAAAGTTACTGAAAATGGCACAGACGTCTTCTAAATTTTTTTATTAATCATTTTTATTTCAAGTTCATATATTATAACATTTAATATCATACATACAATGAAAATTCAACAATGTTAATCAATCTAACATTTGTGTTGAACTTCGAAGTAAATATACTATACACTAATATGCAATACAAATACAAATTCTTAATCGTTTTTCTATTATATTTTTACATGGTTTACACGAAGGCTTTTTGAAATATCCGGTTTAGTCTTATAAGCTCGGGACTGAAACAGTTGTAATCCATCATATCAAAAGATTTTATCGAAATAAAGTCAAAAACCTAAAGTGCTTTTATAGAAAAAAGACGCATACCATAATGTTAAAAATTGTCTCCAGTTTTCATTTTGCCTTTATGTTTTTGTGACAGCGGGGTATTCCATTAAAACATCCAAATATATAGTGCTGCAGCAGGTAAGCGGAGTTACATCACAAATCCCACCACTTAACTTGTCAAACTCATCAATTAAGGGTGTAACCTGGTAACGCTAACCACCTAATATGTTTGACAGCAGGCAAACTGAGTTAGAAGGTCCGGATGCAGTTTTTCTCATGGTTTTGTATTTTGCTATAATTGTATATAAGTCGATTTTGAAACTTATTGCGCAAATGTAGCAAGATTTTGTCAAGTTGTTCACTTTTCGAAAACTTCAAGGGGGAGTTCATATTTGACAACTTTGGCCCAGAAGCACTTGAAAGGTGCTCAGAACCAACGCTCGAAAGTCAGTCTGTCAACAAAACTAAAAGTCAGTCGGTCAACCGTATGTTCTGTCCTGTGGAAATTGCAGATAATTTTTTGCACAAAATCATCAATTATAGGAAGATTCATTTCCCGAAAATAAACATGACAATTCAATTAAGAAGTAAGATACAATTAAATGCTATAAAAAGTAACACATCGTATATTGTCAAGTGGAAAACTAGGTATGACGTGCACGGACATGGGGACAATTCGAGAAATACGGGCTTATATCACCTTAAACGTTAATAGCCACCTAAGTAAAAAAGCTAGGCATGTGTTTCATATATCATTTTGAAGTTTCTTTATACGCATTTCAGTGATACTATTTTTCCTCGAAAAGTTTGATGTGATCTACCATAATTTTAAAGTTAAAACTACCCCAACATCGTAAAAATACGTTGTAAGACGTAGTTACTTCACCCTTGACCGGTTCGTTGAAATTAGGATTGCTTTTGAAATAATAAAGCGGCTTGATTTTATACATACATGTATTGTTTCAGAAATTAACAAGTAAATTAAATTGAAATTAAATTGAACTCACAATCAACATTTGTTTAGTTCTTCTACGATTCAATGAGTAGTAAACTGTTTTGAAATTGTCAGTTTGAAAGAAATGTTTGATGTGACTAAAAATGTTAAATCTGGATCTGAAATCTGATTTAGCTTTTGTGAAAATAATGGTTAACTTTTCAAAACCCAAAAAGCCACATGTTGTATGTGCATGCGCGCGACGACAGATTAGTTCGGCTGGATGAATAAATACTGGTTTAGGAAGTATACCCAGTTCATATCCATCCAGACACGACCGTGCTTTGATGCAGTAATTCGAGACGTAAAACAATACAAGGTAAGTGGGGATAATATTCATCATGCGATCGAGGTCTTTCAAAACGGGAATAAAAAATAGTAACAATTATGTCTAACAATTATGTCATCGATAAATTGAACAATTAATAACAAAAAATGAAATGATATCATATAACATACATCATGTATGACAATTTGAAATTATAATCCTTTATTCTAAAAAATAATAGCAACAATAAAATGAACAATAACAATTTTGTTGTGACATAAATTCGTCGAGACTAAGATATAATCAAACGTTGTTGATGTATAAAGTGTAAAGGGAGTAAGCAGTGTAAAAACCTCCATTGTAAAAACATCCATCAATTTTTGTAAAATTCAAGGTACAGTTGGGGACAAAAATAAATGACAGGTCGATTTTCGATCACCATTTCCTAATTATGGTCGTCTGAAAGCCCATAATTTCCAATATTGTCTAGATACATATCCCTTAAAATTTGTATATTTCACATTTTGTATAATCTCATCCACTGATGTATGGCCTCTTGAAAATTCTCTTATTTTTAACATGGGAAATTCTCACTTCAGCAAATCCACCTGTCATTTATTTATGTCCCGAACTGTAAATCTTAATTTTTGGGCTTGTTTATGCCACAATCGCACCCACCTGACTGAAAACCGAAATTTTTTTGGCGATCGCTGAAAGCTGGCTACGCCCCTGGCTTGTTCGGAGACCGAATGATATCCGAATGAGAAGATAGTGGTTTCAAAAAAACGATGCCCCTCCATATACAGCAAGGGCCAAATAATAACTCATATGAATGAAGTTTCCCTAACGTCTGTTAAAATACATTGTGAGGGCCTCCCTATTCAACAGATTTGACCGCCCTGGACTTCTTTCTCTGTGGCTATTTAAAGGACCAAATTTATGCAAATTCCAAGCCAAATAAGCTAGAACAACTTTAGACCAACAACAACCATAGAAAAATCCAAAACATTCCAATAGAAACATTCTCAATGTGATGGACTATGTAGCGATAATGATCAAGGCAGAGGGGGTTACATTGATTATGTGGTGTAAAAAGTAAAAGTCAAAGCAGCAAAAACACTCTACTATACCTTGCATTTGGTGTTCATGAGGAACCCATTTGGCTTATTAGTAATGATTATGTATTTGTTTTTATTTGTCTGTTCCTTATTAATGGTTTATCGGTTGAATGTTAGATGTTACTAAGGCACTTTCAAAAATATACTAAATAATACAATTAGACAAACAAAGTATCTTATGCATTTCTAAGTGTTAGGTATAGTAGTGTGAAAAAGGCAAGACTGAACTAAAAAAGTAAAAAACTGTGTATTGGGGAGAAAACTTACATCTTTTGGCTACACGACCATGCAAACAATGTCTGAAAATATTTATTGGTTTATCTGTGCTATTGACATACTTTTGGTTACATTTTTGAGACACCCTGTATATGCGTACCTACTAGTTTATGTCATTGAGCACAGTCGTGAAGCAAGATTACAAGATTACATGTGTATTAGTTTTCTAAACGCATTAAATGCCCTGGTCACATTTGCTCCGATATTCAATTTGACCACCCGCCCGATGAGTATTTTGTTCAAAACTTAGTGAGTTTGCTATTCAACTTTTTCATATAAATATGAAGTGTTCACTCCAGACACTGCTTGCTGGTGTTCCCGACAAGGTAGGATGTTTCTCCATGCATGTTTCCGATAACCACCAAGGCTACAGCATGGGTAAGGCGGTTGTTTGGACATGCCTTCAATTTTGGTTTTATCATTACCCTTTGCATTTGTTTGACTGCGCTTCTCATAAGAGAACTTCGTTTATAACTAGACTCTGCGCGAAGGGTATTTTATGTTTGTGTACTGAGGTGTTTATCATGATAATCCATGGCATCTCATTTCTTCTCAGGCCAGGTGAAACAGAAAGATGCTATGAGTATCAGAATGGGTGTTATTAGTGTTCATTAATTCAACCACAGTCAATAATTACTCTGCATTTTACGCGATAAGTTTAACGTGGGTGCCTATTTGGCCATTGATGCAAAAAAAATAATGTTGGCCTTTGGCAACGCATAGAATTCCATGCGCGTTTAATTATTAATTGATAGTGAGAATTTGCAACAAATAAAAGCATAGCACGGAAGTTTAACCCAACCTCGGCAACAATAACATTCAGATTAAACAGGCAATGCGCTTATTTTAAAAGGAAAAAATGACAAAATATTATTTGAGACATGTCACTCACACAGTCAATCAAATATGATCAAAACTTTAATTTGGGTCAATACTGAAGTGAAAAAAATTACTTGCATAGAAAACAGCATTTGAAGTTCAGAGATCAAAAGAAGTGAATTACCACTTTTCACAAAGTGTATGTTTTTAAATAACTCTTGGACTAAAAGATGGCGTATGGTTGAAAATCCTCTCAAAATGAATGGACAATAATGCAAACAACAATGCCATCTTTCTATGGCATTGCTAAAAACTTGACATCTATAAATTAATAGATCAAAAATATTTTTCATGATCTAGTGTCAACTCTGATGTGGTCTGTTTGAGCTGTTTTTGGTGTCAAATGAAAGATCAGGTACTTATTTATCCATTGGAAATACTATGAAGATCAAAAGTGAGACTTCATTTGCACACTTTTTCCCTATAATAAATGAAAGCCAAGCCTGTTGGAACCGTTCACCTTTGCAAACAAACGCCATCCACTATTTGTAATTGTTAATTCAAAAGTTTTTCGGATGCCAATAAATTTACATTATTTGTTATTACATTACTTTATACAAACTTGCTGTTCATGCTCACAATTTATGGAAATGTATTTTAAGCAGTATAAAAGACATACACTGGACGAACCAATGAAGGGTGTTAACAGGTATTTTGATGCCTGTTGTTTTTTTGCCTCTACTCTATTAGGTAAACTTTTTCAGATGCAGTCAGGTTCCGTAGTTTATCTTGGGCTGGCAGTGGTGCTCCTTTGCAGCGGCACATTTACCCAAGCAAGATATGCAGGGGAAAGATCTGCTATTGCCAGACTCTTGACTAGACTCCTGGACAGGTGAGGCTATAATCCAGGGGGCTAAATTAAATAAATAAGATCTTGCTAGACAATAGCCCTATCAAGGGTTCTTGCTTTAGGACTGCATGTAGTTACTTATTATGTATTTGGGTACAAACTTTCACAAAATAAGTTTTAAATAATATATTATTTTTATTTTAGTGAGACGAGAGAGCTGCCAAGCCCGTCAAGAGATGTAGAAGATTCCTCTCTGTTGCAAATGTAAGTCTCAGTTTTTTTAGAAAAAGGGAATGCCAATTTCTCAAATATCAGACCTAAAACAGGCTGGCGGATCTAGAAGCTACAAATTTTGAGTCGGGAAAAAATCTTCCGCGCCTGTGCGGAAAAAAATTGGACCCCTAAAACAATCAATGCCCCCCCCCCCCCCCCCTGGATCGGCCAGTGCAAGAAAAGCCCATAGTTTGCTATTTTAAAGATTAACCTTGATCTATATATCACCGCCGAGCACCCTGTACACTCGCTGGGGAAAGGCCAGGGACGAACGAAAGGGGATCTTTGGAGGTGTTACAAGGGTGTCGACCTGGTTTGGTGGTACGACAATTACCAATAAAAGACAGCTCGACAAAAGAATTATTTAAAAAAATTTTAAATAATGGAATTCTGTCCTATTGATTTTAAAACATTATAAAACGTTTCCAAACAAGGGTGTTTCTAATACACCACTTAATAAAAATGGAGGCCTATTTGATGAGTTCTTGGTGACCATGTACAGGGTGTCCAAAAAAACAGGACCGTAAGAAAGTTGAATAAGTCGGTCAATTTTGCATATTTTGCCTTGAAATTTCAGAATTATTTGGGTGCACCCCAGTTGTCCGAAACCCAGTTGTCCGAAACCCAGTTGTCCGAAACCCAGTTGTCCGAAACCCAGTTCTCCGAAACCCAGTTGTCCGAAAAATTTAGTCATAATTTACCAGATAAAGGGGGACGCGCCTCAAGCCAGTTTCATATTCATGTATTTGGCAAAATCAATGGCATGGACGCATTCTGATGTATAGATCTCTCTCTCACTTTGAATTGCATCCATTACACGGCGTTACCAGAATGACAGGAACGGGGGATTTATTTTACATTGTGATTCTAAAAAAGGTCATCAAAACACAATATATATTACGGAACAGTTGATCTTATCTTATTCAATATATTTTATATAGGCAAAATAAAATGAAACATTTTGAAACCGATAAAATAAGTTAACGCATAAAACTTTAAGAATAAACAGTACACATATTACGTTGTCAAAATGTTTCGTCGCATTTAATTTCTTAGTCTCTGTCTCTTATCAAATCGTAAAATGTAAAAGAACAAAACATTCTAAACGTAATCACTTGGGATTAACTGGAAACGAAGACAGGCTGTCCTCGTATCAAATTGGATGTTCTCCCATTCGCAAGAAGTTTCATTTTCGCCATGTACTCACTTCATCTTTTTGAATTTAATCTCTATTTCTCGAACAGAGTACCTAAATGAAGAATAATTTTTGGTTTCAAAAGATGTACACGTCAACTTTACTCAATAAATGCCCACTGGCTTGGGAAAACTATTTCCCTTTTATGAACGCCCATCACACATTGGAAAAATGTTGTTCCCTCTCAAAAAGCCCCATGGGGCATAAAGAAAATTGGTTTAAAAATTGTAGACCCCTATGTATGTTAATATGTAAACGCCACTTTGCAATGAAAATAGCATAATTTAACTTTGTTTATTTGAAGATCTGTATCACCTGTATTTTCATCTTTCGACAGTTTTTATTAGGCTAAATTCTAGCTTCACGATCACTTCATTTGATCATGGACGTATATCATATACGTCCATGATTTGATATTACATCCTAGCACTATGAATAACATTTATAAATTGCCCTGATGTAAATAAAATGAAAAAAGTATTATTTATCAACAGAAATTTAAAATTCACCGGGCGGCTGCCGTGGGAAATGTGACTGCAAAAGTATGAGATCGCAGAATTTCTACGGCGAGCGTGGAAAAGCTATTGGCCGCAGAAATGATAGACCGCACGGTGGCCGTTGGAAATGTGACTGGGGTGTAATTCCCACAAATCGGGGACACATATGCAATCCACGTTATTCTTCAGGAACAGAAAATACAACCAATGATAAAATAAAAAATTGCATTTTGAATCCGACTGAGTCCTATTGATCCTCATAAATTACCCCCTACTCATACCAAGTTAAAATGTGCCCATCGTGCGCCTAATGCTAATGGCGCTGTCACACTTGTCGTGTCCCGTCCCGTCTCTCAACGTACAAAGCATTCAGGCCAAAATTTAAGGAATAAGCTATAGTGAGCTGTTTCAGAACGCCGTCTGAAACGCGTTCTGATTCTGAACCCACTGTATTCATTGGACGGTGGGAGGTCGTCCATGCTTACACTTTCCGTATCTGACCCTATTATCACACCAAACTAGTTCTCACTACGCTCTCGAGAACGGGCTTAAACTGTATGGACGGATTGGAAGTACTTAGAACACGGTTTGGGGTCTACTTGCCTACCCGAAAGGGTAGTTCCAAAATTTCCACGTGGTCATCACTTTCTGCAATCACGCGGTCTTCGACCGTTAATTGGAATTTTTGACCTACCAGATGCTTGAAAATCATGCAAGGATTGCGAGTCTGATACTGCACCTTTTTTCTTCCATTATACCATTAAAAGCAAAACAAAATTGCACTTCTGTCAGTGCATTACTTTATTGTAAAGAGTCTCTCGTTCTAGCAGCGTTTTGGTCCGCACTCCCCAGCTGTTAGAAGGCCTTCTTACAGCTGGGGACCAAAATTACGCTGGAAGTAGGAACTCTGTTTAAGATAATAACGTACCATCAGAAAGAGATTTTTGTCATGCTTTGAATGGAACAAGTTTGAAGAAAAACGGTGCAGTATGAGACTCGTAATCCTTGATTTTCAAATATCCGGTACGTCAAAAATTCAAATTAACGGTCGAAGTTAGGACCGCGTGGCAATTATATCGAGTGACAATGTACTAACGACGAACAGGACGTGGGGCAAAGGTTGAACTGTCTCAGATTACTCAGAATGTATTGGGAACGAGGTAGAAATAAAGAATTCATATGAACGAGTCATGCAAGATACTAAAGAGATACAAATGCATTTTGATACTCAGTTTTTGGGCAATTAAAACTCCCTGTCTGCATTGAGTAGTTATTTATTGTCCGGTGTATAATTTTTAAACATTATCCTAATTTTTCACAAAACTTTTTGATTCTGCAATAGTTAATGGTTGACATCTATGACACACTAAAAACGAATTTTTTTTATGCAGGGTACGTACATGATACAAATCAAATCTTGGCTCTACTACAAACTATTACACACTTACTTCAACAGTTCAATATATCGCAAAACACAGTTTTGATTTTGAACAATATCACCAATGGGAGAAATTCTTAAATCTAAATGTTTTGAAAGGAATACGTTTCTACTAAAACATACAAACCTCTTATATTATGATGAAAAAAGGATAGACATCTGATATGTATAATGCCACATATATATTAAGTTATACGAAATGAGCATATTTTATTGATTTATCGAAAATTTGGACGAAATCTTAACAGTGGGTGGTACTGAACAACCAAAATCTTCTTTTTAGATATTTTTCAGGGTAGAAATATTATCAATTGATATTGGAAAACATAATTAACCATATTTTATTGAGAAAAGGGAATGAAAAAAATCATCAAATGAATATAATTGTCACGGACGTCCATACGTTATTCTAATGAGATAGATGTTCCTTTCGTCAGAATATTCTCTTCGACTGTGATAATTGTCTAAAATGTTGGCGGCAGTCTTGAATTTTCACCAAGAAGGAGTGCGATTCGTGCTGGACAATGCGGTTCAAAATTTGTAGAATGTCCATATAAGTCTATGTGCCGAGAATCTAGTAAGAATATATATATGATCGTGAACTTTCGGACCCATTATTGACCGGACTAACCGATGTCAACGTGATACCAATGTTATGCTGTCCTGATTCGCGAGGTTGCGACAAGATTCGTTACTAAGAAATTTAATTTTTTAATTTTCGGAGAACTGGGTTTCGGAGAACTGGGTTTCGGAGAACTGGGTTTCGGAAAAATGGGTTTCGGAAAACTGGGTTTCGGACAACTGGGTTTCGGAGAACTGGGTTTCGGACAACTGGGTTTCGGACAACTGGGTTGACCCCGAATTATTTAGTTCATTCAATGTGAATTTAGTTGTGAAAGTTTGATAATAATCTACCAATTGAGTCAAAAACTACAGCTCCTTACAAAACATGCCCCAAATGTGCACCTCTCCTCTCTATGCACAATTCAATCCGGCGAACAAAGTTGTTGATGATCCTCCTACACACATGTCTTTCTGAATGGACAAGTTTGTTCCAAGAACAATTGCTACTGGGGCTTACATCCTCCTGATGATGTTACAGCATCCATTGCATTCTGAACAATGCACTGGCTGGGTGGCAATGAGGAAACATGGAATCATCAGTCCTTTTTGGTTCGAAGGTGACTGGGGACGTGCTTTCACCATGAACAAGGACCAGTAAGTTCTCACAAAGATTTGAAGGTCACTAAGCACAAGAAGGGGACATCTAAGGAAATAAGAAGTGGTTTCAACAAGCCAATAACCACCCTAACACTGCAAATGATATGCTGAAATGGTTTAGGCAATGCTTTGGTGGTCAGCTCATCAGTCACAGAAAGCAAACCATATGGGCAGCTCATTCGCCAGATCTAAATCCCCCAAATTTTTATATTTGAGGATTTCTCAAACCAAAGTGTATACTGAGAGGCCCCTAACAATCTTAAGAGGGCAATAACTACCCCAATATTTACCATCCACATTAATTTGTATAGGCCAGGGTCATTAACAACTTTGTTTGCAGAATTCGTTTGTGCATAGAGAGGAGAAGTGCCCAATTTGAGCATGTTTTGTAAAGTACTGTAGTTTTTGACACAATAAACAGATTATCACTAAACCTTCAGAACAAAATTCACATTGAATAAACTAAATAATTCCAAAATTTCAAAGCAAAATATGCAAAATTGACCGAGTTATTCAACTTTCTTACGGTCCTGTTTTTTTGGACACCCTGTAGCTATGGTAACGTCAATGAAATGTGACTTACTTTCTTTAATAATTGCCAGCCATGTATGTAATCAAAGTCAGTTGCTGAATTTTGCATGAACAAGCAATTATATCTCGCTCGGATAATAGGAGATTTCAAAGAGATTATAATGTATTTCATGTATTTGTATTTTAAGACTTTCTGATGTATCTAAGAAGAACTGGCAAGAAGACTGCAGGAAATACTGTGCAATCCCAGAAAATGCTGAGCCGTTTTATTCAGAGGGTGCATGTAGGCAAGCAAATGACTGTTCATAGGAACTACACCTTAGACCAGCTACGATGAAGAGTGAAGAATATATAAATAAGCGATAATACAAAAACATTCATAGAACATTTGACGGTTGTCTGCAGGCCTTGTGTAGCATATGGGTTCACATTAATGGCAGTGTTTAACTATACACTAGTATACACACTTTGAATACAATATTTACAATGAAATCGAAATTGTATTCCTCTTCTATTTGAAATAATAAAGCATGAGCAAATCTTTGAGTTGTCTATCTGGTTAGTTTATTGTTTCGCCTTTTGACCATATTGAATATCACATGTTATGAAAGCATGATATAGGAGTGAAAGATGTTTTAGCAAATTTGATAATTCTATCCCAATCTGCATCAAATAATGAGATTATCCTATATTAGGTTCAGGAATCTGGGAAGAATATGGGAATATATAAGCACAAATGCCAAAAGGGAAGGGTGACTAAAAACTTTAAGGAAACCCAACAAGAAAAGCAAACTATCACAATCCAGGACCAGAACACCAAGGGACATTTCATTCATACTGAAGTCATTACAATAGTACAATAACGTCATTTCTAAGGGCAATATAGTGAAATATTGGACCAAAGGCCGAAGGCCCAAGGTCCAATTTTTCACTTTATTGCTCGCAGAAATGGCGTTATTAGTATTATTACCACCGTTAACAACCAGGGCTGAAATAGCAAGAAAATCTTACGCACTGAACGATATCTAATTTTTTTATTTTTTTATTTATTATTATTTATTGCTCTCACTATTTACAACAGTGGCACATGAGGAGTATCAGTGCGGCAGAATGACATATCATTAAAATACAACATATTACAGCATTAAAAAACATTAAAATATTTGTAAAAATACATTACAATACGGATAATAGACTTTTATCTTCATTGTCATTACAATCTCCCGGGGAAAAATTGCTGGTCCAGAATATATTCTAGACCGGTCCATAATGGACCACCACTATGACGTCACACATTTCTCAGGTCGATATAGTAGAATGAATGCCTTCTTAACTAGCACTAAAACCCCTAGAAATGGCCCGGCAAGGTGGTAATAATACACGTTGAAGAAAAATTGAAAAATTGATAGCCAATACTCATAACATCAAAAATAGTTGTAGATACTAGTACTCATAAAAGATAGAGTATTCAGTCTCAAATGAAGTGGGATAGATAAAATCCAGTCTCGAAGTCCATAGGCAATTCAAAGGGTCAACATCCGTTCGCAAAGCCAACATCATAATCCGTAAAACACAACGATTCACAATGGTCATGAAAAACTGTCTTGAAGCCAATATCTACGCGGGCCAACACTAGGATGAGAGCAATTAAGAAATAAAAATACAATCTGGTCTTCAGGCCAATTTCTGGGGCCCCCATTTCTGTCCGGGGCCAACAATAGGATGAGAGCAATTTATAGAGAAATAAAAATACAATCCGGTTATGGGACCGTCTTGATGGCAATGGTAAGAGGAGGGAAACACCCTATGCAGACAGAGCCTGTGGGGAATATTGGGTGCGGAGCAAATGAGCGGAGGGTGCGGAGCTAACGGTCATTTTTGAATTTAAATTTGGGATATTTCTGAAACTAAGCCGTTTTGGGACTTCAAATATACCAAGATATGTGTATTTGACACCAAATATCAATACAATTGTGAAAATAGTAGCGCAATTCATTCTATAGCGACGCAGTGTGCCTTAAACCTTTCCCAGACCTATATATTTTGAAATTATCCTTTTAATACTGAGTCCCCAGCATTCATAAAAAATGGTGTTCAAGGTACACTATCTATACAAATTATTTTTGCATCTTGGAAGCCAGGCAGTATCTGTGTGATTTTATAAAAATTCGGAAATGTTTTTCAGATATGAGCCCCTCTAAATATTGGGTGCGGAGGAGCTCCATAAACGTACCTCCGCACCCAATATTTAGAGGGGGCTCATATCTGAAGAACATTTCCGAATTTTTATAAAATCACACAGATACTGCCTGGCTTCCAAGATGCAAAAATAATTTGCATGGGTAGTGTATCTTGAACACCATTTTTTATGAATGCTTGGGACGCAGTATTAAAAGGATAGTCTCAAAATATATAGGTCTTGGAAATGTTTAAGGCATACTGCGTCGCTATAAAATGAATTGCACTACTATTTTCACAATTTTATTGATATTTGGTGTCAAATACACATATCTTGGTATATTTGAAGCTCCAAAACGGCTTAGTTTCAGAAATATCCCAATTTTAAATTCAAAAATGACCATTAGCTCCGCACCCTCCGCTCATTTGCGCCGCACCCAATATTTCCCACAGGCTCTGTCTGCATAGGGTGGGAAAGCCCCAGAGCTTTGGAGATAACAGGCGTCTCTTGCTTACCACCTTCGTTTGTTTAAATTTTCACCGGCAAGTGTTCAAATACTACATTTCTATGTGATGTTTTAATTGATGTAGGCATATTATGAAATGCTATGAAAGCTTGATGCTTTTTAGCAAATCTAGATGCTCTTTAGCAAAGTTGATATATCTGACAAATATTTCTATCAAATACAGAGATCATCACATATAAGGTTCAGTGCCAACAAACGTATGGATATCAATTTAAATGTTGGCAAGATATGCATTAATCAATTATACAACTGTTCCTGAAGTGGGATAAATAAAGGTAAACGGACACTAGGTTTTTTGAAAAATTCCAAATTTCAGGATGAAATTTAAAGCGACGATTTTACACGAATATAAGTCATGCCTCAGATTAAAGTACCAGATCCTCATATTATTCAGACTATCAAAGAAACACATGGAGTAGGGTGTTCAGTATATTCTGAAATAATTTAGACTAAAATGGAATATTTGAAGGATAATATAAAATAAATAAGTAAGATGAATAAAAACTGATTCAGAATCAAGAAAAAGTGAAAATATGCCGGATGCGGAACAGTAAAGAAGATCAGTATATGATGCTTGATTGAGAACTTGTTTCTTCATTGTCCTTTAAGACTCAGTTAAATAATTTGCTAGTTATCTACTGGCCAAAAAGAGATTTTATCCAGAATTTTGCCTATTAGCTTCCGGTTTTCATGATGTTTAAATATAATCAATCCTTATATTGGTCTCAACACACCCCAATGCTTTAATTTCTGTCGGAAAAATAAATTACAAATTTGAATATTTGAGAAATGAAAAGCTGACTGAAAAATGAAAAACTTTTCAAAAATCTCTAAAGTAACTTTAAAAGTTGTGACAAATAGTAAATGAATGAAAAAAACATATTTTCAAACTTTACATGGGGACTTTAAAGATGAATACCATATCCATAACCTCCCATGGCATAAGATACCCTTAGTAAATATGTTTATTCACAAAAACTAAATGCGCCAAATTGGTATTGTATAAAAGTTTATTATATATTTTTATATTTTAAATATAATATATAGGAACATGCTTAAATAAGTTCTATGTTTTACAGCTGTACATTGGACATTGTATATAAGCTACACAATTACAAACAGTTTTCCTCTTGTCATGATTTGTATCCAGTTTTTTCTCTTAAATGAAGAGCTTTCTTGAGTACAATCATTAACCTGAAATATTAAATTGTTTGATTTAATTTTTATCTATAATTTGATTTTAATGATACCTGGCTGTTGCTCGAAAAAGTAATGGTTTTCTATCACGATGGGGCATCAAAATGGATTGGAGGGGGTATCAATATGGTCCATCAATCAGGTGAAACATTATTTCACAAAACAAATATTTCTGTGTATACACAGGTACTAACCAGTCCTCAACTTACTTTGAGCAGCTGGGATCGACATTGAGCTGAACATACTACCAAGCTTGCTAATACACATAGCCCCGTGCCTTAGCCATGTTACTGCCATGCAAGCTCACAGTACAATGAGGTCTGGCTAATACCTGTGTGTATAGATTAATTGAATAATTTAGGAAAAATCTATTTTCCTTGACTTGAATCTTGGGCAAAGACAGTCATCGCGATAACTGTGCCCTTTCGTAAATGGCAGATAAGAAGGAGTCTAGAATCTACCTTGAAATTTGTTCGACTTCACTTCTCAAAATAGAGAGCTTCGTCTTTATAACCACTAACTAGACTCTGCAAGCAGGGTATCTGGAAACCAGAATGAGAAAATGTTTATCTCCGTAAAATGATCGCTTAAACAGTATGAACAATTAATAACTTTATGTCATTGAAGGAATCTGGCAAATAAAATAATTTTTAGTACATTTTTTAAAATACCAATTATAGGTGACAATCTTTTGAATAATTCATATTTGTCAAATTATCAAAACAAAAAAAGGCCATATAAAAATTTTAAAACCACTGGTCAAATATCTTCATTTCAAGATTTCTTTTTTATCACTTTTCTCTGGCCTTTGAAGTCTTTGTCATTTTAGGAAGCACCTTATTTTATTCAGGGAGCACCTTATATAATAAGTGAGTTCTGCTAAATTGACATTTCTATATATTATACATTTGTACTTCCCACAGAATCCATGATAAAGAAATTCACCAAACTAACTTGAGGTACAAAAATTACAAAAATATTGCACATCCATTTTGAAAAAATATTCCCTACTTTGAATGCTTTTGGCGCATGCATTGCTTCTTTCTTCAATTCTAACATGTCTTTAGAAGAGTATTATATCACCTCCTTATACTTGTATGTTCAGTCTACTAATTAACTGTTTTCAAGTGAATAAGTGTTCACATGTGTTCACAGGTGAATGGGTGTTCACAGGTGAATAAGTGTTCACAGGTGAATAAGTGTTCACAGGTGATTAAGTGTTCACAAGTGAATAGATATTCACAAGTGGATAGGTATTCCCAAGTGTATAGGTATTCACAGGTGAATAAGTGTTCACAGGTGAATAGATATTCACAATTAAACAGGTGTTCACAGGTAAATATGTGTTCACACATGAACAGATGTTCCCTGGGATGAATATATCTTTGTTTGTTGATCTCAGGTATTCACGAAGCTTTTAAATGGAACATGCGTATAAATGTTTTACCTAACATGGTAAGAAAGATAAAACTTACAGGATTTCATTGGCATAATATCATACATACATGTACTTGAGAGATATTATTTTAGCAAAACTGAGTGAGATTTGAAGGTAGTCACACTTGGCTGTACTTTCCACTTACTAGTATTGAACACATAACCATACAATACAAGTATTTTTCAAATGGCATAATATAATACTAAAATTATGATATTTTTAAAGTAGCAATCAATTTTTCTGATTCTCCTTGTGGGTTTCATAATCATGTTTCTTAAATACACTGTAGATTTTTGATCAATATCCATCAAAGGCAAGGTGGCTCACAGTTTTTAGACTATCACATATGGGATTAATCCAGATATCATATGGGGAGTAGAAAACACTGAGCGATATGTTTGTTCATAAAATTTTTTTGTCATTTAATTTTTATATCATCACCATGTCAATCCACTGAGGTGTTGTCCTGGTCTTTTCCTGGTCTTTGAACTTGACATGCTCAAGTTAAAGTCTGACATGTTCAAGTAAGCACCTTCATGTTCAAGTTAGAATCTAACATGTTCAAAAGAGTGCCTATCATGCTCGAGTTTATGCCTGCTGTTTAACATACAAAAGATACTTATGTATATCACTTGGAAGAGCGTTTCAATGAGCTAGTGAACTGCATACAATCCATGATTTTTAACATAATACAAGGGTTGATCAGTAAGTAATGGACAATCCATATATCCATATCCACTGAAGTAGTATCCATATATACTCGGAGTATCCAAACTGAGTGGAAGCGACTGAGTTATAATTCATCCCTCAATATGCAATACATATACTGCAGGAGTGATATTACTATGATGACTTGAACTTTCTCTTCATTGAAAGATGGCAGTGGTGTTGATAGTTTACTTGTTTGATCATCATACCTGGAAGATATAGATAAAAATATAAATTCAATTAAAGATAATGATGTGATGTTATTGAATATAACAAAACTGTTATCAAGTAAAAATAGATTTATTCACATACTTAGTTTAATTTTCACATTAAGAAGAGGATAAGACTTACATCGGTGACCAAAACTCTATCGGGCATTGGGTCAGCGTGGGGTTTATTTGTAATCATGATCGCATCACTTGATGCTCGTCTATGACTGCGTTTGGTATTTGACGGAATCTTGGGGCGAAAGATAATCTTTAATTCTTTATGTGTATCATTGCTTGGTGTCTCGGAACTAGTTGGTGTCTCAGAACTACTTGGTGTTTCAGAATTACTATTACTGACTGAGGAGTCATTGGCATCACTTCCCATATCTGGTACTATACCACTCTCTAAAAAATACATATGTGCATGTCAAAACAAAGAGAAACATTTATATGGTTTTCTGGTTGTACTACACAGCCAATCTCTAGCAATACTGTATGGTACTGTAAAATATAGTATGTGACCATACAGTACAGTAGATTCAAACAGACTGTACAGTACCCCGGGACAGTGCCGTAATTTCAGAGTGTGGATTGAGGGTGTATCACCCAATCAAGTGAAAATGCAAACAAGATTTATGTGGCACCTTTTCACTCACCCACCCATTAGCACAAGATGATGACAATGGAGCACTTTTCAAATTGCGATAAAACAGTATATAGTACATGTGAATGTGTTCAAACTATTCCACCTCTGACATTATTTGAGTGATTATCTTGTTCGACTTAATCCAGCGTGACAGGCTTTCTATCAGATAACTGAATGATACAAATAACTTTGTTAATCGAGGAATGACAAACAACGAAATATATAATTGGAGAAAAACTAAAAATAATGGAATATTACAGAAAATCATTGTAATTTTTATTTACCATTAGAATATACAGTATATGTTGACTTTCTTCCACCTGGCTGATTGTCCTGAGACTCCAGACTCCAAGCATACTGACTTGAGGGGCTGGTCACATGACCTAATTGACTGTTTCCTGATTGGCTGTTCTGGCCACCACTACTTGATGAGGATGTGCTACTGAGGGAGATGACGGAGATTGGTCGTTTGTTTCCCTTGTGATAGTGTTCATAGGAGGGGACAGCTATTGAGTTACGTACGCGGCCTAAAAATAATATGCAATAATATGAATAAAAAAATACATGTTCAAATTTTGTTGGAAATGGCCAGATGGCTAGATATCTGAGTTTATTTTTAAATCAAGAATATATAGTTAAATATTTATAATGAGCTTATTGCTATGTGATGTCATGTTTTAACATGATATATTTAAATAATAGAGGTTTTAAATAATTTCTCCTTTGTGTGAGAACTAAATATTTAATCAAGGTATTTATTTGCAATTTAAAATATATTTTCCCTTCTAAGCCTTTTAATAGTACAAATAATTAATGTTTTATTTACAGCTAGGTACAGTAAAGTGTGGTACAGTACAGTACAGTACAGTACAGTACAGTACAACTTTAAACATTTATATAGCTTACATTTAGAAGTAGAATTGACTTCAAACTTCCTATCATTAATGTTGTCAGCACTAGGTTTAAGGTCTATACAAGGTTTACTCCCAACACCCATAGATGACATCTCTGTCAGACGACGCTCTGCAAGAGAGGAAAATAGAGAAATGAGAGAGGATGGTATGATAAGAGGACATGGAGAACAATTTGGAAAACATAGAGACCACCAAACAATATGGACACCCCTGAAACCAAATTGAAATTATAAAACAGAGCTATATTATTTATTAAAAGTGTATGTATATAAGTACATAAATAAAACAGAACTAGATGTACATGTATGTGAGATTGAGTTTGTGAATTAAACCAACAAAAAACATTGACAAGTCTTGCATCGATGCTCTTTTTTCAACCCCCCCCCCCCCATGTGGAAATAGATACTAGGGGAGAATCAGGGGTTTGATGCAAGAATTAACATTAACACACATACCTCTATTCTTTATAGCCTGGCGCCAAAGTATCTTCGAAATATCTTTGACCCATGCAGCTTTAATTTCTGCTGTAGGCGCCTGGAGAATGTAGGTCTCTCCTACTGTCCTCCTACGAAACCAGATTTCGAATTTGTGGCCAGCTTCGCCTAATGACTCGGTAATACCAATATCAGATGTCTACAAAATATGAGAATATAGAATATTATTTATAATTTGTGGGTCAATGAGTAAAATGTAGTTCAAGAAATAATAATAACCATTGTGTTGTGATACATTTTATTTGCTTGTTAATTAGTTCTTTCATAATTTTGTATGAGCAATCATCTCATAATTTTGTTTTTTAATTATATTGGAAACCTGTTTCTTCAGAAATAGTCTGATGGAGACTGACATAAATGTGGCTAAAGAGAGTAAAATTTCTGCAAACTCGTACCTTCAGCGAATGCCTATATTGGTATGTATCATGGCCACTTGAGCTACGTTTGGCCTTGCTGAACAACATCAGATCTTCAAACAGGAAAACACGACGCAACGACTTCTTGCGTCCTTGCCACACAAGGAATTGGTCCTGCCGTAAGAGACGCCCATACTCTTGTAGGTTCACCTGAAATATAGAGATAATTAATTTTACTGCTTTTGGAAAACGGAACTGAATTGTGTACTTCAAAATCAGATAGTTACAAGAATCACATTTTCTAGATCCATTTGCAGGTAATATATGCATATCATTCATAAATCATAGATCACTATAGCAACTTACATCACATTCTCTTAGCGAATCCATGGCGAGAAGATCATTCCCATGACGTAACAAATACTTCACCATCTCCTCGGCTGCTCGTAAATCAGAGAATTCTGGGTCTGTTTCCGGGCACTCTTTGAGAAGTTGTCGCAAGAGAAGCGCATATTTGCCCATGCGTTGTACTGGTTTGAGGAGATAGCTCTGAAGGTCCATCTTATCTCCAAGTTCGATTTGTTTTTGCTACAGATATAAATATTTCAATGTAATACAGATCTTTACTGAAAATTGTACAGACAAAGGCAAATTTTTTCTTGACTAATGTTGCATAGATTTATCCAAGACCTTACATCATTTCAAGGATACTAAAGGTTTCACGTTAAAAAGCAACCATTTGTGGAATTCAAAACTTATCACTTTTAATAATTCAGATACTTAATGACACGAATAATTCAAAATCAAATTGTAATTACTAAAAGAAGGGTGTGGTATGTTTGGATTAGTCTTGTCAAATACATGTACTGTTTTTGAACTTACCCGAAATAATCCTTTGGCATACTCCTCCATGAGGTTGTCTGACTTTGGTTTGTTCTTGTTGTACATGGCATACATGTAGAACTCATGCTCCTAGAAGAACAAATTAAATGTTAATGTCTGACTTTGGTTTGTTCTTGTTGTACATGGCATACATGTAGAACTCATGCTCCTAGAAGAACAAATTAATTGTCAATGTCTGACTTTGATCAAATTAATTGTAAATGTTTCTGGCATAATATGAGTCTATTTTCTGGCCGTCACATGCATATAATAATTAAGAATGAAACAAGAGTACTTATAAAGTCTTGGGATGATCTTAGTACCAGCATATTGCGTACATGTCTAAATCCATTTCTTCACTACATTTTGTAAACCAAATCAAGATTTGGAATAATACAATGCAAGAAATAAGCCAATTTAGTCATTTAAAATTGCAAATGCTTTTTGAATTAATAACACATTTTTGGAACTGAGCTTATATACATAAATGTACAATACATGCACATGCTAGATTAGTCTAGCTACAAGCCCTTTTGACCCCCCTCCCCCCATTACTCTCACCTGATGATGAAGTAGATAAGGGGGTTCAGAGATTTGAAGCAAGACTAATGCTGATTGTACTTACATGTTCTAGAAAGCTGTGGCAAACAGCGAATGGGTTGTGTTCACAGTTCTGGATCTCATGCAGGAAATAATGAGCGTGGAACTGATACAGTTTTTCAATATTACCAAATATCACATTGCGTTTCCCTCTTAGAGCCTGCAATAGATTAAATAAATTAATTAATATGTTAAGTCAATTCAGAATTTGGCGCAAAGAAAAAAACATCAGTAATTTACATATCATAAGATCTGATATTTTCCAAACTAAACAGGATGCTAATGACCTCATTTTATATGTTACTCATCAATTTCATAAAGAACACTACAATAAATTTACAGGTTTTCAGTGGCTGGATAATAGCATTACTACCCACATAATGATCACCTCAGTTTCTAAGTACAATAAACATTTGGAATATAGGATACACTCAATATACATATCTTACCTGGGGGACATCCTCTCTGGCCAACTCTGGGATGTAGTTATCAATGACAAACTGTAAGGATCTCACATAATCTTGCTCAGTCTGGATCATTTCACGCATTATTAACGAAAGAGTTCTGAAAAATATGCAAATATTGTATGGTGTTGCAATGAATTTATAGAATCATAGTAGAAGGCTTCTGAGGGAGACAGAAGATAAATCCAATCTTAATTGTGAGATATGTTTTTGTCCAATCAGATTTTGTCAGAAAATCATGACACATTTCATATTCAAAATCCCAAAAAGGCCAAAATAATTAATGTTAAATAATTTTATTTATAATCTTAGTACATATGCAAAAGTATGTTGAAAATTATGAAATAAAATAGTGAAATTGTAAAAAACATGTGTAAAATGCTTCAAGTGTCAGGAAACACCTCCTTTAGAGATTTCAAAGATATTTTCAGTTTCAAAATTCCCAATGGGGATTCTGGGTAAAACAAAACCTACCTTCTCCTTTTAATCTCATCATCAGTGAGCCTGAGGTCAGCCATTGAGGCACTATGGGTCAAAGTTGGTCGGTTCTGACGTACCAAATGAGAGTTAACAGGCACTGGGGACCAAGCGCAGAATGCTTTACGTCTGTCGATGACGTCCTGATGTTCCGGATGCTGTTCTTGTTCGCGTTGATTGTTTGTTTTGTTTTTGTTGCGAGGAAGGGTGTCACCTGCAGTTTCATCCTCTTCAGTTAGACTGGAAACAGAGAATTATTTTGTTAGTGTTTTGTTATACAACTACCTAAGATCCTCTTTCAACCTGCATAGCCTTGTACAGTTGATTACATACAAGTATATTGTGCTTCTGACCTGTTTTCCCCCCACACCCACTCCAGCTTAGAATGAAAGCTTTTTCTAGAACTGTAGAACATGTATATTATATTCAAACACCTCTGCAATACAAACACCTCTGCAATCTGAACACCTCTAAATATGAACACTTTTTTAGTCAGAAGTTTGTTATCTACTATTCTCACATATCTAAGAAACCTTGAAATGTGACACCTCTAATAATCCGGAAGCAAGTGCAGACTGAGTGGAGTTTGTATAAGACAGGTTTTACAGTATTGCACTCAATTTGTTATAGTGTGGATACTTTAGAAACAACCCCTCACATATCTACAAATACTCTATTATGTCTGGAGCAAACAAATCCAACATTTTTAATGTATTCCTTGGGGATTGGGGAGGGAGATGGGGCAGGGAGATGGGGCGGGGAATTTGGGAGGGAGATGAGGAATGGGGATTAGGGAGGGAGATGGGGAGGGAGATTGAGGATGAAGTTGGGGAGGGGGATTGAGGAGCGAGATTGACTCACCTTGGCAAACTCTCTGTACTCCCAGTAACCAAGCTCCAGGTTCGCACACCTTGCCTTCGACTAGCTAAACTATTCTGTTGATTATCCTGACTTCTGACCTCCCTTTGAGCAGCCTCAATGACTACAGGGTCCATAACTCCACTACTATATGACTTGCGAAATACCCGTGGAGGCTGCGGAAGACGAGATTTTTGAGAGGCACTATTTATCTGTTCTGATTCACTCCGTAAATGCACATGAGAGTGAGAAATATTTTTATTTTGGTCCGTGAGATTTTCAGTCGAGCCTCGTAGACTTTCATTTGAGGCTCGTAGCTTAGAATTAGAGTCTGATAATGTTTTGGGAATGGACGTGACTATACGATGAGAGAGATCCTCTGTGATGGCACCACCTACAAGATTTTCTTCATAATATCCTTGATCTTTGTCCTTAAAGGCTTGCGCCGCAGGGCTATATGTTGGACTAGAGGCGGTGCCAGCAAAAGATCGTCTCCGATGATCGGGGTCAAAAGTCACTGTTGAGGGTGGAGTACCCACACAGGGCACAACCCGAAGATCTAACGATCTTCTATTATTATGGTCTCTAAGATCTAAACTCCTCCTATTTTCCTTATTAGTGTTTACATTGTGACGTCGCGTCACACGTGGTGACACACTACACTGATCTCTGGCAAGTTGAGACATAAAATCGGAAGAAACACTTTCCTCTGATATACTACTTATACTCCGTCGTTTGCTCACATTCTCCGTTATTAGCTTATCCTTAGCTTTTTCTAGAGTTACTCTTCGTAATTTTAACAATTTATCAGTATCCTCACAACGACTTTTTGCAAGTCGACATTGTTCTTGCAACTTTTCGTTGTTTGTTTTGTGTGAGAGATCAATGAGTGATGAGAAGTCCTCAGGGCTAACAGGGGGATGTTGTTGGGTATAAAAGTCTATATTCTGTAGCATTTTGTCCATTTCTTCTGTTGTAGTACATGATTCCATCTTCATACGCGACATGTATTTCATAGTATCCAACGCCCATTCATACGACTGAAAACAAAAATATATTGGTTATATTTCGTATCCTGACAAAAGTGCATCTTTTTTGTTTTGTGAACTACATGATCATCTCTGATTGAAGAGAAATTCCCTGTGATTTATGGTTATTTTTGCAAAACAAGGAATGACTATGAATAACACTGAGGTAAAATTGTGAATTGTCCAATGAGATGTGCTGCGCATATATTTGTACACATTTTAGTTTTAGCTACCAATTTAGTTTCAGGAAACACATTTTGAGTTAGAGGATGGCATTAATTAAAACCAAAGGATTGTGCTGTCTGGTTGTATAATCCCATGTCTCGTTATTAATAGATAGAACTGGTATGAATTATTTATATTTAGTACACACATGTAGGCCTTAAATATATATAAAGTCACGACTAATAACTGCTGTGTAATCCAGCGGCTCATTACTAACAAATCACGTCCAGTTATGCTATTACTGCTTTTTTGGATCACAGATAACTACATCATACACTATATAAATTGTGTACTATGTATATGGAAATACAGGTTATAATTTAATGTTCTAATTAACAGTGATCGGGACAAGTTATGTGTATATCATTATATCTACTGAAATTCTTTCATCTGTTTATACCTGATGAATATTTGCCGTTAATTAAACCATCTTACTTTGGTTTTAAACATATGTTTTTCATTTGCTTTTCCACTTTCTTTTAAGTTATCACAGACAGTATGAAGTCCTCTATCATCAACAACTATAGCATCGTTTAGTCTATTGTAATTATTCAAATGAGTTTTATCAACTTACCGATGGGTCTGGGTCTAACCTAAAATTCCCCCTCCTGTATTGCAACACGCTTATATTCATTGTTGATACTCATATACAGTATATGTACATACTCCAATTAAATTTGAACTTAATGATGACATAGAAGAGTTTTGTAAATTCACAGTTCATAAACTATATCTCGACTGAACATAGGTGTGAATCAAAGTAAAAGGCTATCACAAATTATCACTCAATGTTCAGATAACTTATCTTAATCTGTGGTCAAAATATTCGTGACACTTCAAGACGTAGGAAATGGGAAGTGGTTTTTACTCACTGGACAATAATTGAGGACAACACTTGATTTTATGGAACTCGCATCAGACCTTTTAAATCAAAATAATTCAAAGTGTGAATATCAATTCTTTTCTCAAATCTCAATTCTAAAATCTCTCACCTTATCTAATAGGCAATAACATTTTGCAGTGTCGTCAATTTTTTCTCGAGTTCCTTCCAAACGATTTGTGAAGTCGTTCATGTGCGTCTTTAGCGTCTTAGCAACATCTTTTAATCCTGATGCCTCGTCCAGGTTTCCCGATTGGGACAACATACTGGCTTCTTCCAAAAGATCGCTCGCTTTTTCTATATGTGTCTGCAATTATACAAAGATAGAAATCAAAGGAGGTGTTTCAATGTGTTGTGATGGTAGCTCCATAGTGATCATCCAACCAATGATTGGCCAATCAAGGTCACATGACCTTAAAGCAGCCCCCTCTATTAGTGATAGGATAATGAATGAACAAGATAAGATGAAGAAGTGTTTCAGCTAATCACTCTCTAGAAAATTCCACAAAAATTTACATCAAATCATATTTACCATTTATCTGATTTACTAAACAAATACACCCCCAAATTTTCTTGCTTTTGTAACACAAAAATGCCCATTTCAGAAATATTCAATTTGTCGTGCTACATAACATCAAAACCATCGACATTTGGAATGTTATTCAAGGGAAGCTGTGAGGAAATTGGCTCACTCATGGTAATCTGTGCAAGAATTCTGACACTGTTTATATTTATATACAAGTACACATATACAGGTATGTGTGTTTCTCATACTATCAAGATGTAAGAAAATTAAATTAATTTTATGAGAACATTATTTATCTGTTTATTTGCTATTTCATATATATCAATTCATATTAAATTATTTTGGGATAAATAACAACACACACATAGATTTATACTACAAGGAAACATAAATAAAGAGAATCTCCCACGACTATATTGTAGCACTACTTAATCCTTTAATTAGGGTACTCCAAACAAATATTATCCTTGGCAATCTCTTTTGACCCCAAAGGTGTTTCCTTGGTATTTGCATTTAAGATTACAACTCCTTACATAAATTACTAAACATGGTAATTCCTCTGGATGTTCATCATTGTCACTATCTCCTATTTGACGCCCACATATTGTCTTATGATGCTTTTCATAAGATTCACCTTGAAAGCCTTACAAACATGTGTACATGTACATGTAGATTTTAATTGATTTTGTACCTGTACCTTTTCAAGCCCATTTAGTTTGGCTACCACTGTACATTCAGTTCATTTAAGCACATATTAGCATTTCTCCTCGTTTTAATTTTGCAGAATTAATCAAAAATAATCCCTTTCTTTGAACAGACATTCCCAAATGTGTAAAGCTGTCATCAAGAAGTTATAGAAATAAAATTAGGACGTATTTAACACAGCCACTCTATGAGTGTTTCTGGTCACACGGTCAATCATTACACACCCCACCCCCTCCCTCTTAATATATTACTTTGATGTAAGTGTACGTAGAGCTGATATATACTACAGATGCATAGTTGTCAAAATATGTGGGATTAAGAGCCTATGGACAAACTTATCATTAGTAGAGTATATACATGTACCATTATCTACTTAAGTGGTTCATTAAATTGTTGATAAAATACAAGGTGCTATCTATTACACCTGTACTTCAACAGTTTTAATCTTTAGTTAACATATCAATAATTCTGTCACCTATACTGAATACAAATAGTAACTTCACATTTTAAAGAGAGAGACCATAATAACAAAATTAATGAAAATATATTAGATAAGGAAAACTTTTATTTCGCAGATATTTTGAAAACTTTATTCATAGTGAGTTATGTAATCGCCTCGACTGATCATTATATTTTTATGAACTAAGAAAATATCATTATTAGAGTTAAATTGAGATATTTTTCAAAACTTCAAAGAATAAATGTTCACAAATTTTTAAGATAATAGTAACAAAAGTTCTCTGTACTATTAATTCAAATCAGATTTTCATCTATTAGTGAAGACATCTGTCACTTGACTGTTATATTGATTGTACATTAATATGACACCTACTTTTATCAGTGACATATCAAATAGAACACTCTATTAACAGTGAACTTGAACTTTATAAAACTCTACCAGCCCTGATCACTGAGATAATGTGTAGATTATGATGTCAGAAAATCCACAAAATCCACAGCTACTCTTTCCGATGTAGTAAAACCTGTTTATCCGAACACCATTCTGATCTGAACTCCTCTCAATGTGAACACTTTTTCCTGGTTTGAATTTTGTTATTATATTGATTCAAATATGAGAAAACCTTGAAATGTGACCATTTGCTAATATGAACACTTTTGAGTCATTTTGACCATTCCCATGGCCCAGTAATGGTCAGATTAGACACGTTTCACTGTAGAGTGATTTTGATTTATTAAAACAAATTTATCGAACTTCTATGTTCTGACACAGGAGTTTCCAAAATCAGCATTACATACCAAATATCATTCATGTACATGTAGATTTAACATCCAAATCTTATATGAAAAGAGAATGTAAATGTTTTTTAATGTTTATTTGTTGTTCATAGGTAGTCCTACAACCCACTCATTACTCAATGTGAACATGACCTCATCATGAAAAAATCAAAGAATATCAGAGATATTGTCAGATTATCATAATTTTTCTAGTCTTGCTCAAAGACTGTATCCACCCCCCCCCCCCCGGCACCTTCACTCTCTTTACCTTCCTGGCAATATACAGAGAGAAGGATATATATATAGAGATAAGGATAAAGGGGGGGAAGTACAGGGTCTTTTAAGCAAGACTAAAATTTTTCAAGCACTGCACAAAAATAATTATTAGCTCACTTAGATGAGCTATTCTTTTGTGTTGTGACAATGTTACCAAGACAACCACTGAATGAATCCCTTTCTGTCTCTTTCCTCTTTTTCTATCATTTGATCATAAAACTAAACATGTCTATTAGGTCGTTTTATAGGGCATGTACTGTATTTATCAACAAACTTCCATCATATTATAAAACCAGCGTTTGTATAGTGTTGACACATATCCATTGCAAATGAACTATAAATTCATGTTTGTCAAAAAGCTTAACGTTGTACTGCGATTTTGAAAAAACATCACCCGTATGACGTCTTTTAAAATGTTCTAGTTTTAAAACGCATACAAACTTGTGATGAATTAACAACTAGAGCCCTACATAATAAAACATAGTTTAGTTTTTGAATAACATTAAGTCAGTAGATTTTCTTTTAGTTTAGGCGGCCATTCACCCATGCTTTCAATAAAATCAAAATAAAATATATAAATTGTATAATATTAACGATGAAACTCATTACATTTGCTTCATTCTTTGGGAGATTTTAACTTTTTAGTTCAAATGAACTATTGCCAGAAAATTATTTTTATCTAGTACTCCATCTTTCATGCTTGATTTATAAGAATCAGTTTTATATATCAAAAGATATATCTGTATGAAAATGTGGAAAACGATACTTTTTGCTTGGTTTGACCATATTATGGCATAAATAGCCTCAATAAAAAAGAAATACTAATCATCTATAACTCTCTCCTTTAGGAGAAAATGGGAGACTTTACTGTAAATCTTCTCGTCACATAGTCTCACTAAATGACCTTATATGTAAAAGTAATATAACTTAATTTCCAAAGTATCATACTTTCTTCCTAATGTTTTCCTTTTTGAAATACCTTACTGGATCAAGGTGCCAATTTGTGACATTACATGGCTTCTTATACACAAAGTAACACACCAATAAAATAAATATGAAATTATAACACTGTGACATACCTGTAACCTACCACTTATCCTCCTCAAAACACAACTAACTGAAGCCATAGTCACAATGTTTAAATATTATTCCAAATTCCAAGTAACACTTAAATGTTCATATATCCTCCATGTGGATTCCAACAATCAAACTGCCTTGTGATATTATACTTCTGAACACGTTGGTGAAAGTCTTGCCAAAATCCACGTTCTGTAACAATTTACTTTGAATTTGAATAAAGTTGAGTGGAATATTTCTCAGGTGAGTTGGTCACCGTGGTAACTAATCTCAGTTTGTCATTCCCGACCTGCTACTCCACAGTAAGCCATGGAATCAAGTGGGTAAACACACATATACAGATTAAACAAACATATGTCTGAATCTATCTGTGTCAATCGTCATTTCCAAAGCTCCTTACGAAAATATTAAAATCACAGCGGTGAAGATGGAAAAATGTCAAAGATTCAAATATAATATTCTTATTAATATCAGTTCGTATCCTTATTAATAGTTATTTCCTGAGTTAAATCCTTGAAACGAGGTACTTATTCCACCATTTTGGCCAATCTGAATTAGTCAAATAAAACGAGTCATTTCACCTTTCCCCTATCTTTACTGTCAGCTGTTTAATTTCAATCCATCTTCCAATACAATCATCCTGGGTGATCATCAACCAATAAAATTTGAATCAATATTGCAGATAAAAATCAATTACATCCTATACATGTCTACACATCTCAAACATCATTAGTGTTGTTCTGTGTAAGATTCTGAGTTCAACAGTCTTATCTTCAATTTCAAATTCATGAATATTAATTCTTCTTTGTAGCATACTTCATATCTCAGCTGTATTTCCTGGAGTGTACTAACCTAATTTGCATATTGTTATAATCAATGAATTATTAATTTCAACTGAAAAAATGCTTGATACACATACGAGTACGTGTAGTGCATTGTTACCTTTTATGTATTATTTTTGGTTTCAATACAGTATTTCATTGATTTATTGATTCATAAAAAATGTATTAAATAATTTCATTCATTTTTTAATGAAACAACAACTTAATTTTTTTGACTGGGCAAGGATAGTTTTGAAATACAAACACCTTTATATACATCTTCCAAGCTTTAAAGAATTAAGTTCACATGATGTATAATTTGCAGTAGAGCTCAGTAGGTCTATTTGGGTGCATATAGGTGATGTGCCCATAATGTAAAATGGTATACTTTTCACTATCATTATTCCAATTATGACAATTAAGGTCATCAAATGTTTGATTGAATAAATAGAGATGTTAATTATATGTACATGTTTTCAATAGATCCCAATATAAATTAACCTAAAAGTGTCAATCAACTATCTTCCATATTGACATTTAGTCAATTCTATCCTTCAAAAACTGAATATGCCCACTTGAGATGTTCAAAACAACCGCTGGATTACTCTTAACTTCCTGCGACCATTGGTTCCTTCCTATAAAGCCCGACAATAAGGGCACTGATCG